CACAGGAGGTGGGCAGTGCTGGGGCTGCTTCCCAGCGTCCCATGGTTTCCCCTGGTTTGGGTGCGTACCAGCAGCAAGAGGTGCTGGTTCAAAAGTCACTCGTTGGGGCCTCTTGTTGGAACCTCTTAGCAGCAAATAAATAACATTTATCTTAACGGCGTGAGTGAGAGCCCATTCACCTGTCGGGACTGCAGGATTAATGTGGCATCAACAGCCCCACTGTTTGCCTGCCAACCTGGTGGCCTCCCTGCCCCCACCCCCCTGTGTGGCACCCCCGTGCAAGGGGGCTGCGCATGCGCACACGCGTGTGCACGTGGGGCTGCACGGCCCCTGCTCTGCTTCCCGCGGCTCGGCGGCTGGGAGGGCCACTCTGTCCCCAGCCACTCAGGGTGCCCAAGGTGCTCCTGCTGGCACAGGCTCACTGCTGGGGCCCAGCAAGCTCGGCCACTGTTCAGCCCAGAGCTAACTACGTTGCAGCCAGGTGAGAGCAAACAGATGGGCTGTGTCTTGGGAGGAAATCGATAGGAGATAAGGTGCTGCCGGCCCGTCCTGTACTGATTAGTGGTATGGCACAGGCACGGAGGAGGTGCTGGGGGACTGCAGCCCTTCCCTGCAGCTGCAGGCAGCATCTGAGGACAGGATGATGGCCAAGTGCACCCCTGGAGCCAGCTGAACCCCTGAAGCACTGCAGCTTTGCAGCAGCCCTGGGCTCCAGCCCCATGGCATGGAGCTGTGCGTAGGGCTGCAGACCATCACCGTGCGACCCATCTGCCCAGGCCCCAGGGCCCGTATTTGACTTCAGTCCTTGCCAATCTGCCACGCACTGGGTTGGGGTCTGTGCAAGGAGCTCTGACCGCTCGGCAGCAGTTTCCCAGAGCTTAGGGAAGACTCAGCTCCTCCCACAGGACACTGTCCAGCCCCACAGTGAGTGCGAGGCTCCTGTCTGCCTCAGCAGCCCAGCCTCTCTGCTGCCTTGCTGGGGCACGTGCCAGCGGGCGGCAGGGACGGACCCTTT